GGTAATATAATTAATACGCATAAATATATAAATTAAGTGAATAAGCAAATTCAATCTGAAAATAATTATAATCACATTGTAACTTCGAAATCACATGACGTTATAATAAGTCTCAATGGAGTGATGTCATATATTTTATTTCAAAGAAATGGCTCTTTGAGCCTAAATTCGCGAATCAGAAATCAGCATAGAAGAAATGACACTCTATGTCTCGTGAACATGCATAACCACTGATAGAAAGATAGTTAATTTATTTGCAGAGTAGTGCACTCTGTGCCTGATCAAGATTGATAATGCATAACAGTTATCTGAAAAAATTGATTATGATAGTGAATATCAAGTTGAATTGATCAGGCCTTCAGATGACATTAATATGTGCATTAGCACTAGCTCTGTTATTCGAAATTGGTAGTCTATGCTTTCACTGTTACTATTTGGATTGAATTTTGATAGGTCTTACAGCATTTGAGACGATAAGTTTTTGTATTGACATAATCTCCATTATCCCATAGACCCTATATATTATCTTATATATTTTCTTTCTTATAATATTTATTACATATGGGACATATCTCTGAACAAGTAAAGTAATTACCATATTCATTACTATATTTTAAAGATAAATGAGAAAAATGCTCCAATACCATTTTGATAACGTGTTGTTGTCTTTCTTCTGGATCTTTAGGTAGAACAGAAATTGGAAATTGTCGTTTAGATTGTGTATATTGAATATTTATCCACAGTACAACTAAAGTCTTTTCCTCAAAAGATATTTGTGTGAATTGAGCATGGATTTTTTCTCATTCTTCCATAAGATCATTGAGCCATGTAGTACTCAAACCACTTTCTAGTATACCTTGACGTAATAACTCTTTACCAATCAGTCTCTCCCAATCTGTTAAAAATTTATGATATTTTCTAGAGTCTTCTTTTCTTTCTATTCCACCACGATAGAAATGTATATTTCTTTCCAAATCCCCACGAAAACATCCCATGGTCCACCTATTTTTCTCAGTCTCTATAATGGTCGAAAATTCTTTGGGATTTATTCCATGTTCGATGACATACTGATAAAGACAATTTTTGTTTGGATCAGTCTTGGAAATTGAGGAGGTGTAAATTTTATTTGGTAATACTATCTGAGTTTCCGGTAAACTGTCCTGTAAGATATGATCATTAGCATCCTTTTCGATTCGTGAAGATTCAGGCTTTACCCAGGGATCGAGCTCAGTCTCTTCCGTATATGCTCTATATAAGATCAAACGAATTTTATCAGTCAAAGAACTTGGTACTTCAATCAATTTAGCATACCAGTCCAAATATTCAGAGATTAAGGCACAAAGTGACATTTCTCTGAAATAGGCTTTATTCATATTATTGTTTTATATGACTACAAATTCAAATTAAGTATCTTTGTTTCACTTAAACACTGTGCATATTCCGAAATAGCAATTAAAAAAATAAATATCGTTAATTAATGATTACTGAAGGCAGTCACATAGTGACTATACCCCTTTTTCTCTTCAATTCGGAAAAAAATCTTGATTAGTAAAAGTATATGTTATCTGATTATGAAGTGCTTGCCTCTGGTAATTTTTTCTGGCTTCGAGCAGTTACTGCGAGAAGATGAGATTTATGCTGTTATTTCGATTTCACGCTTTCCACATATAATAAAATAGGATCCAGCTTCGTATTTATCTTTTACACTTTTCCCGTCTTCATGATCTAGTTTACATACTGGGCATAATGAACTCTCAATAATCCCATAACAATCAAATTTTTCAGAAATAAATACTTTATATAGATCAGAATATCACAACAATGTCTTATTACGAAAGTAAGCATGGTCATGAATCTTATTTTCTGACAATATATTATTAGGTGAAATACTAACCTCAGTCATATGAGTGCGTGACTTTTGGTCACACAATATAGCAATGAAATGCTTCTTAATTGTATTGATTTGCACATCAGTTAGCTTCGAGAGTTTATTTGCACTATAAGTTTTAATTCGCTTAATTTTATCTTCTCCAATTACGCTAAATAATTTGTATATAGGTTTAGTTCTTTGAGTTCTTTTACGCAAACTTACACGAGAAATACCTGAAAGATACTGTAGCATTTCATCATAAATCTGCCTACTTGCTAAATCATAGGCTCTCTTATAATTTCTTTGGTTTTCGGGTAAGATATCATCAAGTCTTTTTTCGAAATGCTTTCTATATTGGTACCAGCTCGTAATTTCTTCCATCTTGGCTCGTTTAGTATTATTTTCTGCCAAGCTTATTTTTTCAAATAGATGGACCAATTTGATTGCGAGTGATTGTTCATCTGTAGAATTTTTATCAACATTGACAACTTTAACGGTATCTTTCACTAAAGATTCTATTTTTAATTCTTCTATCAAAGGCTGTACGTCTATTTCAGGGATTTTTGTTTTCTGTAAGTCTGTGTTTTGTTTTGACGATTCTTCAGATAAATTAGGAGTGTTAGGAATAGATTGCGATTCCGAAATTTGTTTGATGTGTAATTCATCATGAGATTTTGGCGAGCTATCCGAATATGAGTTTTGGGCTTGAGAAGCGGAAGCTTCATTACTCTGTAATAGCTTCTCTTCCCGATTCCTTTCTCTTATTTCGTTATGAATCTGTTCATTACATTTTTCATTCAGAAAATTATCAATCCTTTTATCTTCCGATGATTTAGACTTTACACATATAGGTGGTATAGAATTGGAGACTCGAGACTGATATTCACCAGAATTTGAAATATTATTGGATACATCAGATGCCAGAGCATCCTTATTTTGCAAGACTGCCTGTTCAGAAATGTCATCAGTTATATCAGATACCGGAGTATCACTACATTGTAGCACTATCTGTTTGAGAGTATCGTTAGATTTTACTGGAGAGTGCGAAACATCTTCCGTAGGCTCGAAGAGCCATTGCTCTACAATATAAATACTTTTTTCTTCTTTTTCCTGTTCTAATATAGCGAGCCTAGTCTCAAGCTCTATATTCTTTTGCTCTAATTCCTCGACTTTAACATCGCGCTTTTCATTCTCCTCGATAATCCTCTTCAGCTTCGCATTCTCCTTTCTAAGCTCAGCAATCTCAGCTATAAGTTTGGAATTATGTTCTTCTAATGTATCGACTTTGGATTGCGTGTTTGCCATTTTTATACAAGATGCAGATATGTTCAAAAGTTTGAATAAATAAATTAATGAGTGCGTGACCAAAAGTCACACCGTTCGCTTTTGCTAAGAAAAAAATAATAGCGATGATGGAACACATTGACTTTTCCAGGTCAGAGATATGCGTAACGCGTGAAAAATTTCATTTCTTTATTAACTAGCTAATGAAAAAAGTAAATTTCAATGAATACTCCTAAATATTACATCATTTTTTGGCCATGCCAGCTCTGCTGATTTTCTCTTGCACACGTCTCTTCTTAGTCACTGGTTCATCACTAGCAGACAGCCTATCTTTTAATAATCCCACTATTACCTCTAAAATCCTCTTAACACTTTTTCGCAACTCGGTATCATCTTTGAGGACGGCTTCTGTAAGCGAGATGCGGTATTCGGTTTTACTCGTACAATAGATGGCGTCGGTAGTGTAAAGGATAAAGTACCAGTCTGTTCCGGTACTGACTATACCATAGACATAGTCATATTTAGCTTCCAATGCTTCGTCGACCTTCCGCTTTTTCTTGATCATATCTAGATTCATCTGAAAGAACGAAAATTAATAATAATACTCATCATCAATCCGTAAAGAAAAATAGGTATACTTGCGCTTCGACATTGCACCAAATTCTGGCAAATACCCATCGTGGCCTGATTTTGTTTACCCTCGGTGATGCAAATAATTTCCTCCAACATTTCATTAATTATTTTTTTAATCGCATAGTCGACACAGCCAGTATTTTCTTCGCCAACTATATTGGCCTGAGGAGAGATAACCAAACCTTCGAGAAGACTAACAGATGCATGCAAGATTGTCGAAATGTATTCACACCGCATTGCCTCGTTAGTATCTACTACTGGTCCCATGTTCTTTATCCTGCGAAGTATATCTTCAACGCAAAACTTGAACGCCGGATTATCTTCGTCAATTTTGAATGTGACTAATTGTCATGAAATATTAGTAAACGAAGTTATATGAAAGTTTTCTCTATCATCTCATTTCTCACCTGGTGTAAATTGCGGAATGCGAGTTATGTCCCCACTTATAATTCCATACTTCGCTAGGACTGCTTTAAAATCTTTCAAACTACGATATGACGAGTATGCCCTTTTCGTATTGTCCTTGAGTACCTTGACCTCTTTTGCAAGAAGTGTTGCCGGACCACCTTTTAATCCATAACTTTGGAAATCTTCTTTGGTCATATCGAGGAAGGAGAGGCCATTGATTTTTTCTTTACGGATAATAGCAAAGTCCTCATCATCAAGTTTTAGGTCCTGCTCTTGCAGGTAAATGACAAGAGACTCAGTATTCCAGTTTTCGACTAAGTACACATTGAGTTCGATTGTGGAAATAGACATGGTAGGTGGTATTGCTTTATATACGAAAATTTGTATTGTGCGAGTATTGGTCCGGAAAAAAAATTTTTTTAACGAATAATGGGAATCAGTGAAAATTTGATTGGTTGCACAATGTGAGTATCACAACTATCCCAGCGTAACCTACAAAGATGTACCAATCAGAATAGATTAATTTATTAGCCAATCAATCATCACCCTGTTCGATGTTCCGATTGTTATGTGGGTCGGCTAGTCGATTTAGGATATGTAAAAGACTATTTGTTTCACTTTAGTTT